GCTTCTTCCAGGTTTCCCATGCGGGTGCAGGTCCCAAGCTTTGGGCTATTCTTGACTGCTTTCCCAGGCCACAAGCAGGGAGCTGGATGGGAAATGCAGCAGCCAGGATACGATCTGGCACCCATATGGGATCCCGGTGTGTGCATGGGGAGGACTTTAGCCGCTAGTCTAGCACGCCGAGCCCATTTGTCCATTTTTTAACTGAGTTGTTTGTATCTTTTGTTGTTGTTGTTGTAGTTTTTGGAACTTCTGATGTGTTCTGGTTTTTAATCCTTTATCAGATGCATAGTTTCGAAATATTTTCTCCCATTCTGTTGGTTATCATTTTACTGTTCATTATTTCCTTGTTTTTTTGAAAGAAATATTTATTTACTTGAAAGACAGAGTAAGAGAGATAGAAAAGGAGAGAGAGGGGACTTCTATCCACTGATTCACTCGCAGAATGCCTGCAGTGCCCAGGATCAGGCCATGTGAAAGCAGGAGTTTTTTCTACGTGTCCCACATGGGTGCAGGGGCCCAAGCTCGTGGACCCATATTTACTACTTTCCCCCATCATTAGCAAGGAGCTGCTGTGGAAGTGGAGCAGCTGGGAAATGCACCCGTGTGCATATGGGATTCCAGCATTGCAGGCTGTAGCTTAACCCGCTAAAGCCATCCCCTGTGATTTTATTAAGCACCTTGGTTTGGTATAATCCTCTATTTTTGATTTCACTGCCTGTGCTTTTAGAGATTATCTAAGGAATCCTTGCTTGTGCCCCCGTCTTGTGGTGCTTCCCAGTATTTTTGTGTGTGTGTGCGTGCTTGATAGTTTTATGTCCCAGATCTTCCATCTGCTTGGACCTGATTTCTGTGTCGAGAGGTAGAGGGGGAGTCAGAGGTCACTGAAGAGACTATTTTAGTATATGTTTTGGAGCTTTTTATCAAAGGTGGCTGTTGATGGGCTTATGAATTACTTTACTGAGTTTAGCCTGAAAAGGTGCTGCCCATTTTAGCAAGTCACTGTTGGGTTTCCATGTGCTGAGTGCCATCTTGTGGTCTTTGCGTTGTAGTGCAGTGCACTCCCTTTAACAGAAAACTTGGAAAATCTGTGTCCGCTGTCATGGCTGAACAGCACAGATGGCCAGGACTTGAAGTTAATTCTTAACTTGTGTCTCAGCTTGAGCACACACTAGGCTCCTAATCCTGGCCAATCAGCTCTACAGTGTGTGCCATTTCACAGCATTGTTGTAAGAGAGGAAGACCAGCCAGAGCCTAGCAGATGTGGGTTTGAACCCAGGCATGCTGATATGGAATGCCTGGCTCCTAAATGAAAGGTTAATCACCGTGTCAAGTGATAGCCCCTGGTTTAATTTTTGCTACTGTAAACTTATTGGAACAATTCAAATTGCCTCTCATCCTTTCACCTTCTCTTAACAAAGTAACTTGCATGGGCCCGGCGGTGTGGCCTAGTGGCTAAAGTCCTCTTATGAATGCACTGGGATCCCATATGGGCGCTGGTTCTAAACCCGGCAGCTCCACTTTCCATCCAGCTCCCTGCTTGTGGCCTGGGAAAGCAGTGGAGGACAGCCCAAAGCCTTGGGACCCTGTACCCATGTGGGAGACCCGGAAGAAGTTCCTGGATCCTGGCTTCGGATTGGCATAGCATCGGCCGTTGTGCTCACTTGGGAAGTGAATCACCAGACGGAAGATCTTCCTCTCTGTCTCTCCTCCTCTCTGTATATTTGACTTTCCAATAAATCTTAAAAAAAAAACAAACAAAGTAACTTGCACATAGGTAGGTAATAAATGCTTTGTGAATAAATGCATGAGGTAGGTGAATGTAGCTGTTTGAGTTGGCTTTGAATTTGCTAGCTGAAAAAAAATCACAAACTTAAGCCTCAGGATTTAAAAATATTTTGGGCATAGCACGATGGCTCAGTGGCTAAGTCCTCACCTTGCAAGCGCTGAGCTCCCATGTGGGCATTGGTTTCCCGGCTGCTACACCTCTGATCCAGCTCCATACCCGTGGTCTTGGAAAACAGTAGATGACCCAAAGCCTTGGGACTGACCCTGCACTCACATGGGAGACCCAAAGGAGTTTTCTGGCTTTGAATAGGCTCAACTCCTCCCGCTGTTGCAGCCATTCGAGGAGTGAACCAGCACATGGAAGAGCTTTCTGTCTCTCCTCTCTGTAGGTCTGCGTTTCCAATAAAAATAAATCTTAAGAAAAGAGAAACTTATTTACTTATATGAAAGCAGAGTTACAGAGAAAGGGAGAGTTTTTAATTGCTGGTTTACTCCGCAGACAGCTCCAGAGCAGTGGCTGGGCCAGGCTGAGCTAGGAGCCAGGAACTCCATCCGGGTCTCTCACGTGGTGGGATTGGCCCAAGTCTTTGTGCTTTTGCGATCTTCCCAGGCACATTTGCAGGGAGCTGGATCAGAAACATGGCAGCTGGGAATTGAACCAGCACTTACATAGGAGACTGGTATCAGGCAGTAGCTTACCTCAGTGTGCCACAATGCCAGCCCAAACTTTCTTTTTTAATAGGTAAAACATTTTAGTGCATTGATAGAAGTGTTTGCGTATGTATAAGGAAGTATGTTTATGTTAACATACTAACACAACTATGTACTTGTTATATCTTACATATTAAAACCATGTTTTCAGAGATATTTCATTGCCTAGTATACTTTATTTTTCTGGGGTTAGGGGTTAGGATATTAAAAAAAACTCACTAATTAATGAAAGAGCAGCAGTGTGTTTAAGAACAAAATATACAACCTGAAAGTTTCTTGATGGTAGAGGGGGAGGGAGTTTATGTTGTACAAAAAAAGATGCGATGGAGGTATATAAGTGGGGTCTGGGGAATCCCTAGTCTGCAATTCTGGGGAGATTTCTGAGTGATTGTCCACCATCATTGGGAAGTTCAAGGACGTAAAAATATTTACCAAAAGACCAGAAATTTAACAGAGAAGCAGGGAATCACAGATGCTACATATTAATGCACTGGAAAAACATTGTTTAATGCATTCCTCAGAAAGTTCTGGTCACCCTGGACTCTGGCTAAGCTCGCATGATCATGGCATGGTTCTGACCTCCTGCTGCACAGGTAGTTACCACACCATACTCACCTCATACCGTCCTCAGTCTGCTGGCACTCCTCTCGGGCAGTTTCTCAGCCTCCCCACTACTGACATCTCAGGTCAGGGTCTTCTTGTTGGGCTAGCCCTCGCTCTCTCGGCCCCTGCTCACCAGGTGCCATAACACTCCTTGCTTTTGGCAACTACATCCTCATATATCAGCATGTCCCATAAAGGGAAAACCTCTCCCCTACCATATGTTGACAGTCATATTCTGGGAGCTGGATCACAGGCTGGGACTCATCCTCCCCAGGAGAGGAAGAGAGTATGCCTTGCGCATATTGTAAATGCCGATTCAAGGTTACCTGTAGGGTGTAATTGAGGCATTGTGGAACAGTGACTTAGCACTTCAAGCTGCTGCCTGAGATGCCAGCATCTCATGCGGATACTGGTGTCCCAGCTGCTCTGCTTCTGATCCAGCTCCCTGCTAATGGCCTGGGGAAATGTAGCAGCAGGTAGCCCAAGAACCTGGGCACCTGCTGTCCATGTGAGAGGCCGGGATGAAGTCCTGGCTTCTATTTTGGCCTGGCCCAATCCGGCTGTTGCAGCTATCTGGGGGAATGAAACAGTGTATGGAAGGTCTCTTTCTCTGTGTTACTCTTTAATCGACCTTTTATTCATAAGCTTGTTTTATCACCTGATATGAAAAAAAGTGAGATGTGCATTTTCACTTCTTTGTAAGTACCAAGACATCACTACATAACTCGCGCCTGCTGCAGTATTCACACAGAATAAGCATCTTGACGGAAGAAATTTGCTGTTTGGTGATCAAAAGCTGCTGAATGTTGAAAAATTAATGACCAGCTTTTCTGAGTGGATCTAAAAGTAGCTGCCCTTCTTGTACATAAACCTAACAAGAACAGGAAAGAGGCTGGGAAAGCATCAATCCAAGCGGTACAAACTCATTGCATAAGTAAAAATTTTGTGCTTTTCAGATTGCAAAGAGGAAATCGCAGAACAAGATTCCATTTACACTGGATGCTATTGATTGAAAAGATTACCACAAATTTGTTAGTCTTCAAGTTCACCAACAGGTTGGTTTTTAAAACTTGTACTTCAAGCTAGCATTTGGGATATTCTTCGCTGTGGAAAAAAAAGCTATAAATGGCAGTCAGTTTTTCACATCTGCCTACAAATGCCCATCACCAGAAACCTCCCATTTGTTTTGAGCTGGGAGACCGAGAAAATCCCCAGCACTTCTAGCTGTGGCTTTCTCTGGGGAGCAGGGCTTCCTGTGAGGAGAGGGAGATCAGCATTCAAGACAGGATGGGATGCACCAGTTTCCTCAATTATATAGCACAGCGCTGTCATTTTGGGGTGGCAGATACGATGAAGTAGCGCTGAGCTCAGCTTTGCTTTAGGGATTCAACTTTTACTTGTTGAATATAAAAATATCAATGGCTACTTATACATTTGGTTTAGAGAAAAGACAGGGAGCAGTGGGCCATGGGGCGAGCTCTCCCTAGCCAATGCTGCAGAAGGTGACTACACTCAACTTGCTCACCACTGCTGCCTTCAAAGTTGCCAGGCGCCGAGTACAGCACAGCCTTGTGAGCTCGGACAATAGAATTAGCTTGCTTGGGTTCAAAGTCAGCTTTTCCTTTTCTAGCCATTTGTCTGATCTTCGACAATTTATTTGAGCATCAGTTTTTTTTTTCCCTCATTTGTGAAAAAAAAAAGTTTCTGTACTAAACAAAAGAGTGTATCTAACATAATGCAATCAGTGCTATAAGGCATGCATTTCATACATGTTAGTTATTGCTGTTGCTAGTTGCATTCATTCCGACAGAGGGTAAACACTTGTCTTTTGACATCAGTGTATCTGGGCTGTAACATGATTTTTATGTTCTCTAAATAATTACTCCTGGAACACAAGGTGGTAGTGGATTGGTGTTCTTTATTGAGGATGTTCAAGCACCATGACTTGAGGAAGTATTTTCAATTTAGTTTATCGAAATACTTCAGTTTTCCAGCTGGATCTGGGATTATCTGTTAAAATAAAACAAATAAAAATTAAAAAGCCAATTATTCATCTTAAAAGCCAATGTATATATCAGTGGTAATTCGATATTAGTTTCTTATTTCTTGCCTTAAAATGATGAAGATTCTTTTTGGAAGACTCATTTATTTGAAAAACAGAACACAGCAGAGAGAGGGACAGACAGAAGCAGAGAGCTTCCATCTGTTGGTTCGTTTCTCAAAATGGTCAGGAACTCTATCCGGGTCTCCCACACGGGGGCAGAGACTTGAGGACTTGGGTCATCACCTGCAGCTTTCCCAGGCCACAAGCAGGGAGCTGGCTGGGACAGAAGTGGAGCAGCAAGCACTCGAACTGGCACGTCAGTGTTGGGAGCAGTGCTTTAATCTCCTGTATCACACTGCCGGCCCCCAAAGATGATTTTGAATATATCAAATTATATAATATATAGAAAAGTAGATCTGTCCTAATTACTAATCTCAGCTGTCCCACAAAGCAAATAAGTTACCTAAAAAAATTAGTTTTGATACACTCAAGCACCCCAACTTTACTTACAGCTCTTCTCTTGGCCACCAGGCTTTCATGGCATCTTCAGGTTTGATCTAGTTAAATCAAACATATTGAGAGCATGGCTACAGATGGTAATGCATTTTAAGTCATTTGCTGATTAGGTAACCTGAAAAGGGGTAGTATATTCACTAAGAGTATTACAAACGAAGTTTTGGGAGGTCCAGAATGCAGTTTTTTTGAGTCTCAAACCAGAGTAAAAAACCAAAAACCAAAAAGCCTTTAAAAACTCCATCACGCATTGTCTTCAGTAACTGTTCAGTGAATGAATGAACACGGTAAAAGATAAAGTGCCCTCCCTAAAAGCACCATAGCCAGACCAGTATTGCAATGCAGGTTAAGCTGCTGCCTATGACGCTGGCATATGGTATGAGCACTGATTCGAACTGTGGCCGCTCCACTTGTAATCCAGATTTTGCTGGGAAGGCAGTGGAAGATGATCCAACACAACTGGACCAGCTCCAAGAGTTGTAGCCATTTGGGGAATGAACCAGCAGCTGGAAGATCTCTTTCTTAACTCTGCCTTTCAAATAAATAAGTCTTAAAAAAAAAAAGAGTATCATAATCTTAGAAAGTTATTAGACTTAAAACATTTTGTAATAGAATTTGGCTTCACATTAACTATTTTACTTGCTAATTATGCATAAAAGACATCTATTTTTATATATCTATAACATATCATAAGCATACTATAATCATTGTAATCCAGTAACTTTACATCAGTTTCTGATGGTTTGCCAAACAGCTGTGTTTTCAAGATTGAGTTAATGTGACACTGTCAACTTACTCTGCTCTCTACACAGATCTGACAGATCTCAAAAGGATTGTTGAGTTAGGCAGTAAAGGTACTTTCAATTATAGATTAGCTGTGAGTGTAGTTTACATTTATTGATTGTGTAGGCAGGTAGAAATATGAATCAAGCTGTTGGCTTACAAAGCAATTATTCAATAGTGAACAGTCTCCATTTCAGAGCTGTGTTTTAATTCTGTCTTTATGCTTACTATTTATTATTTCAGACAGTGCATGAGAAAACATGTGTAAGGCAAAGAAAAAAGCAAAAGAAAGCGTCTGAGAGTGAGGATGTTCCCCTATCTGCTGGCTGATTGTCTCAGTGACACCAACGGTCAGAGCCAGGCTGCAGGCAGGGGCCAGGCACTGAACCAGGGTTCCCCATGTGGGTGGCAGGCTCTTCAGCTGTCACGGGCTGCTTTGTTAGCAAGAGGCTGGTGTTGGGAGGCAGAGCTGGGAATGCAAACCAGGCACGTGATGTGCGATATGGTCATCCCAGCAGTGTTTTTGCTGCTAGGCTAAACGATTTGCTACTAGGCTAAATGACTGCCCTCATTCTACTTTTAAAAACGGGTTGAAGGGGTACGTGGGGTGGGCATGAAGTAGCGAGGAAGTTCTTCTGAGCTGACATTTGAGCTGAAAGATGAATGTAAAGGAGGAGCCAGGACACAGCACAGTAGCCCAGTGGCTATCCTCGCCTTGCATGCACCAGGATCCCATATGGGCGCCGGTTCTAATCCCGGCAGCCCCGCTTCCCATCCAGCTCCCTGCCTGTGGCCTGGGAAAGCAGTTGAGGACAGCCCAAAGCCTTGGGGCCCTGCACCCAAGTGGGAGACCTGGAAGAGGTTCGTGGCTTAGGATGGGCTCAGCTCCGGCTGCTGTGACTACTTGGGGAGTAAATCAACAGACGAAAGATCTTCCTCTCTTTCTTTCCTTCTCTCTGTATATCTGACTTTCTAATAAAAATAAATAAATCTTATATAAAAAAAGAGGGAGCTAGTCTTGCAGAGAAGAATACAGACAGAACATCAAGGACAAAGGCACTGAAGCAGGCAGTAACTTAGCATGGTCCAGGAACAAGAAGGCAAGCAATTTAGTGCAGTTTTACCTCTGATTATGGTCAATAGTAAAAAAAAAAATTTGTTTAATTCCTGTTAGAAAATCAGATATACAGAGAGAAATATCTTCTATCCATTGATTAACTCCCCAAATGGCCACAACAGCTGGAGCTGGGCCAATCTGAAGCCAGGAGTCAGAATGCTTCTCTGGGTCTCCCATGTGGGTGCAGGCTCTCAAGGCTTTGGGCCGTCCTCGACTACTTTCCCAGGCCACAACCAGGGAGCTGGATGGCAGGTGGTGCTGCCGGGATTAGAACTGGTGCCCATATGGGATCCTGGCATGTGCAAGGCAAGGACTTTAACTGCTAGGCTACTGCGCTGGGCCCAAGAGTAAATTTTACTTTCATTTGCTAAGGAAGTAGCCTTAGGAGCTATATTTCCCGACTAATCGAAGATAATGATGTCTTCCTCTAATGCTGTAGTATTTCTCAATTTCCTAATTACAGTTTGTGTAGAGCTCTCAATTTTTTCTCAATTTTATCTTTAAAGGATTTACTTATTTATTTGAAAGGCAGATATACAGAGAGAGAAAGAGAGACAGAGATTTTCAATCTGCTGCTTCGCTCCTTAGATGGTTGCAATGGAGTGTGAATCCAGGAGCCAGGAGCCAGGAGCTTCTTCCGGGTCTCCCACGCGGGTGCAGGGCCCCAAGCACCCAGGCCATTGTGCACTGCTGTCCCAGGAGTATCAACAGGTGCTGCATCTGAAGTGGAGCAGCCAGAACTGGCACCTCCCATGTGTTGGCCTTGCAGGTAGCTGTCACCTGTGGCGCAGCAGTGTTTAGAAGATACCCATGCTATTAAAGAAAAGATTCAGGGCTCAGCTTTGGCCTGGCTCAGCCCCAGCCACTGTGGAGTGAACCAGCGGATAGAATATTCTTTCTCTGTCTGTAATTGTCTTTCAAATAAATGAAAGTCTGAAAAAAATAAGATTCAAGTAAGTTTGTAAATTGTCTTCTGGAGATAGACTACAACAGAGATGCTTATAAGCGATACAGCCTGCCTAAATGAAAGAGTAGACCTATTTCAATCCTTTCTGTCTTCAAGTGACAAAGGGGAGAGAATTACTTTCAGTGTTAATTAAATTCCATATGTGACCTCTAAACTTATTCTTTCTTCTTTTTCCTTGGTTCCCTGGATACTTAGCTTTAACCCATAGCCTTAAACTCTGTTCTGCCTTTTTCCAGTTTGAGCAGCTGTTCCTGTAGTCCTGAGGGCGCGTGTACTCGATGGCTTCTACCTGACTCAGTGTCACGTCTGTTCTAGTACACGGGAAGACTATCTGAAGGTTGGCTTTCTTGGTGCCACTCACCCCATTAATAGAAAAATCGATATGACTTACTGTTTCACTACCAGGTTTCCAGCCAGCAGGGCAGACTAAAAGGAACAAAAATCAGAAAAGACAGTTTGTTAAGAATTGTTCAGTTCTCTTTAGAAACTCTTGAGTTACTGTGTTTCTATATAAAAGTAAAGAGACTGTATTGCTAAGAGCATTTCAGATTACCAAGTGCTTGTCCCCAGTTATGTTCAGTTACACTTACAATGTAAGAAAGCAAGCTGAATGTCCTCTTAATAAGGCTGATCGAAGTTCCGCTGACTTTCTACTGACTTCTAGTAGGCATGCCTGCCCACGTATCTTACAGAGTTGTGGACCAAAGCCAGAATTTGTGTTTGTCAAAACAAATGCAAGGATGCGCCCTGACCCAGGAACTGACATTTTTAAGAGAAATGTGTTCTAATTTGGCAAAATCTTATTTTCCAATTTAGCTGTTGCCAAAGCTTGGAGTAAAAGGATGAACTGATTAGCATTATGATACTGTGTAACCTTCAAGATTATGTTATTTTAAAAAAAATCCAATTTTCTCTTTGATCTTAGTCAAAAGTATGATACAAACAATGAATATTTTTGCATCTTATTCAATAAGCAACTATACTAATTAATGATTTTTGTTCAAACCATTTGAACTGCTTGGTCTGCTAAACGAAGTCTAGTAATTGGAACTCAACCAGAAGATTTTAGAACTGCACAAATTACTTAAATGATAAAAAGTACTTATGCTGTTAGCTGTCATACTGAAACATCAAGGAAGGGTACCTTCTCCGTGCTTGTCGGTGTACTGGAATGCTTGAACCAGACGCAGCGTCTCATCCACTGATCTCCCCACAGGCAGGTCATTCAGAGTAATCTGTCTTAGGACTCCTTTGTCATCAATGATGAAGAGCCCTCTGGAAAGCACAAGAATGGTAGAAGTGAGGCCATTTCTTGTTTTTTTTTTTTTTTAAGATTTATTTACTTTTTATTTGAAAGGCAGAGTTACAGAGATGAGAGATGGAGAAAAAGGTCTTCCACTTGCTGGTTTATTCCCTAAATGGCTGCAACACCTACAGCTGAGCTCATCCGAAGCCAGGAGCCAGGAACTTCTTCCAGGTATTCCTCATGGGTGCAGGGTCCCAAGGCCTTGGGCCATCCTCGACTTGTTTTCCCAGGCCACAAGCAGGGAGCTGGATGGGAAGTGGAGCAGCTGGGACCTGAACTGGTGCCTATCTGCAATATTGATGCCACAGGCAGAAGCCCAACCTACTATGTTATGGAGCTGGCCCCAAGTGAAGAGAGCTATCTGTGCATGTGAATTCCTGTATCATCCACACAGGATTCTATACTGAACCAACACCACTACTTATTTACATACACCTGTCTACATTCATACATCCCGGTACCCCCATCTACCATATAAATTCAGGATTAGCACTGTTAAAGGATAGTTTTAAATTTTTGTTTTTCATTATAAAATGTACTGTATCATCATTTACTTCTGATAATCTGACTTTAGGGATCAGTGCTGTGGTACAGCATGTTGGAAGCCACCTGCAGTTCCAGCATCCCATATTAGTGCTGCTTCAAGTCTCAGTTGCTCTACTCTGCTGTTTCCTCGCTAATGCAGGAAAGCAGTAGAGGACGGCCCAAAGCCTTGGGACCCTGCATTCACATGGGGGACCGGCAAGGAGTTCCAGGCTTCAGGTTGGCCCAGGCCATTGCAGCCATTTGAGGAGCGGACTAGGGGATAGAAGATCTCTCTTTCATGTTTCTCTTTCTGCAGTTCTTTCAAATAAATAAAATACATCTTTTAAAAAAACTGCCTCAGCCTTTTTAGTGGTACATTTATTCTGTGGGAATTAAAATATTTTATAAAAACAGAAAACAGGGTCTGATACAGTAGCCTAGTAGCTAAAATCCTTGCCTAGCATCCACTGGGATCCCATATGGGTGCTGGTTCTAATCCCGGCAGCCCTGCTTCCCATCCAGCTCCCTGCCTGTGGCCTGGGAAAGCAGTTGGAGATGGCCAAAAGCCTTGGGACCCTGCACCCACGGGGGAGACCCAGAAGAAGCTCCTGGCTCCTGGTTTTGGATCAGCTCAGTTGCAGCCACTTTGGGAGTGAACTAGCATTATGGAAGATCTTTCTCTCTGTAAATCTGACTTTCTAATGGGAATAAATAAGTCTTAAAAAACATTATGGACTTGTTAAGTACAGAAGGGAAAACTTGGCTGTGATATATAGTATAGTATGGATGAATCTTGAGGGAAAGAGAGCAGTAATAAAATAACATTTTGTAGGATTCCATTCACATAAAATGTCCAGAAGAGGCAACTGCTGAGCCATAAGGGAGATTAGCGGTTGCCCAGGGCTGAGGGAAAGCAGTTGGGGGAAGCAGGGAGTGCCTACTAACACATTTGGGATTCCTTCTTAAAAGTAATGAAAATGTTGTAAAGTTGAGTTAGTGGGTGAGCCTTTAGCCTAGCGGTTAAGACGTCTGCATTCTCCAGTGGAGTATGTGAGTTGGATTCCTGGCTCAGTCTCTTCCTCCTAACCCTTGGAGATCGAGGTTTTGGCTCAAGATCTGAGCTTTTGCCAAGCACTTGGGGTGATCTGGATCGAGGGCCCACCTCCTGGCTTCAGCTGTCAAATCAAGTCCAGGTTGTTCTAAGAAGCCAGGGGAGAGAACCCATGGATGAGATCCGCTTCTTAAAAAACAAATCAAAACCAATCACACTCTGATAGTGGCACACTTCTGCAGATACGCTGATAACCAAGGAATTGTATACTTTTAAATTTTATTTTTGTATTTATTTATGTGTTTGTGTGAGAGAGGAAAAAAAGAGAGAAGGTTTGCAAGTGTTCCTCCATCCTCTGGTTTACTCCCCAAATGCCTGCAATGTCTGGGGTGGGCCAGGCCACAGCTGGGCACTCAATCTGAGCTTCCCACATGGGTGACAGGGACCAGCTACTTGAGTCATCATTGCTGCTTCTCAGTGTCTGCATTAGCAGGAAGCAAGAGCCTGAAGCTAGATCTGGGAATGGAGCCAGTTGCTCTGATAGGGAACACGGGTGTCCAGACCAGCATCTTACAGTTACATGAAGTGTGCACCCTCGATCGGATACTTTCAATGGGTGAACTGTATTGTATCTGAATTATATCTCAAACCTATTATAAAGAAATAGGATTTAAAATGCATTTTATGTGAACATGTCTTTTAAAATACATTTCTTTTAAATACATTTAAAAGACATGTTCACATAAAAGACTGAAAAAACCTATTGGCACTGCAAAATCAGTATAATTATATTATAAAATTACATTTTAGTCCAAAATTTCCTTTTTTCCACCAGAGAATTCTATTAGCATGTTAGCTCAAGTAACCCAACAGAGAGCTGCTGGGTAAAATAGGTCTTTCCCACAAATTTACTAAAATATTATGATATTTATATTTAGAAAAAATTACTGGGATTATTTTGAAAAAGACATGCACAAGGAGTTGGAGGAGCTGGGTTCAAGTTTTGGCTCTGTCATTAACTAATTGTGTAACTGGCTAATTTCACGGAACTCTATGCATCTAATTTATCTGTAAATTGACAGGATTGGACTAAGACCTCTAAATGATCTTCTAACTAGTCTGTGACACTAATATGTATAGTTTAAAGTAGGACACCAGCAATTAAATTAACGTTTCTACATTTTCGCAAATAGAGCAAATTATTTCTTGATGAAAGCTTGTATCTCCAAATTCACCAATAATATCCATTTCAAGGAGGATTATAAACATTTGGTTTCATCACAATATAAACCCACCAAAAGATACCTGAGAGTGTGGCCTGAGTCTTCCAGATAAACGCCATAGTCCTTGGAGATCTGATGGGTCAGATCTGAGAGAAGTGGAATCTTTATTGATCCAAGTCCTCCTTGTCTTCGAGGGGTATTAATCCTGTAACAAACAGAATACATGCCTATCAGAGCTAAGGAAATGGGAGATATTAAAAGTCAATTCTTTTTCTCCATTAGTATATGCTTACAGAAAAACACACATTCTAATAAAAACAGGCTATGTCCTTGCTATTTTACTTCTCCTCCTCTTTAATGATATTATTGATATCCTTTGAGCACTAAATACTTATATAAAATATGTTTGTAATGCATGGACCTAACTATATTTTTCTAATCTCTAGTGACAGCTATTTAAACTGTCTGTATTCTTTCCCCTTGAAAAACACTGCTGGAAATGTCCTTGTAAATGGGTCCTTCAAACTGTTCATGTAAAATGGATTCAAAAACTGGTTTTATTTTGGTGCAGAAAAGTTTGAAGTTCATGAAGTTCAAAAATTTCCATGAACTTTCTGAAGACCCCTTATGTTGTCATCATCGTATGTTTGATGAATTTCTGTCAGTGCAGTTGATAGGTCCAAGGGCAAGCGCTGTCCTAAGCATGACTTTAGAACTCTTTTGAGAGGCGGGATAGAAGTGGATAGCATTTTAATATTTTGTGAGACAGAAATGCAAGGAAGCTACAAGCTGCATCAATCTTCAAGTGCTTTTATCTAACTTGAAAAATGGGCTGTTAGGGCCCGGCGCGGTGGCGCAAGTGGTTAAAGGTCCTCGCCTTGCACGCCCGGGATCCCATATGGGCGCCGGTTCTAATCCCGGCAGCCCTGCTTCCCTTCCAGCTCCCTGCCTGTGGCCTGGGAAAGCAGTGGAGGACGGCCCAGGGCTTTGGGAACCTGCACCCACGTGGGAGACCCGGAAGAGGCTCCTGGCTTCGGATCGGCATAGTATCGGCCCGTTGCGCTCACTTGGGGAGTGAATCATCAGACGGAAGACCTTCCTCTCTGTCTCTCCTCTCTGTATATCCGCCTTTCCAATGAAAAAATAATAAAAATAAATCTTAAAAAAAAAAAAAAAGGGCTGTTGGCTGGTGACCCAAAGGGATGGCATTAACAGAGCAGCTAGCAAGCAGGAAAACGCAGCTCCAGCCCCAGTTCTGAAAGCCAAGTAGAAATCTCAGGTTGATATGAAGAACTGTGCAGTTGAGAAGATAGCCCCAAGTTTACTGGGGAAAGGAATCCTAAATTATTTGGGATGTTGTAACTTCTTCCTTAGTGGGCATGCATTTTAATCCTTGAAGAATTTAGAATTACTATAGGAACAATGAAGCAAGTTAATCATATAGTTTTACAATATGTTTATATTAATATTATATACTTGCATTATTTAAAGTGTTTAAGATAATACAGCATATAAGAACTTGGGAAAGTTTGAAAACTGAGATATTTAAACAGAAATGGCATATATTAAATATACAACTGAATTTTAAGATAAGGGAATTTAAATTCCATAACCCTAGTAAATTAAAAATTTTCATATACTCATGTATGTGCACGTGTATAAAAAGTGTAAATAGAGAAAAAAAATCATGTTTGGAATTTGTAACTTCAGTAACTTAGAAGCTGTAAAACCAAAATGCTTCTAAACGTCCTCTACCGTGTGCAACATTTTCAGCATAAAACTGCGGACACTGTAATGTGAAATTCATAACTGTGTGTACATTTCATTTCATTAGAAAGCCTGTCTATTTTCTAGAAATGCTGGACCAACTGAATTCTATATCTTCCCACCTTTGGCAATAGAACACAGATTTTCTTCAGTCTTGTCAATCTTGGTGAATCAGATAGGGAAAAGTGACATCTCTTAACATCTCATAATTTCAATTTGTACTTGTTCACAACTAGATGAACATGTTTTTAGGATTAATGAAATTAATTTCAAGAAGTTTAAAGTTACTCAATTTACGTTCATAATCATGCAATGCAGTGTTTTATTGTGGAGATCATTGATGTCAATCCCCTCCCCTCAATTCTGAAATGTCCTATACATTTTTCTAAACAGATTTATTTATTGATTTATTATCATTGTTACAGAGAGGGAGAGACAGTGATCTTCCATCTGCTGTTTCATTCGAACCCAGATATCTGCAATGGCTGCTGTCGGGTCAGGATGAAGATAGGAGCCAGTAGCTTCTTCTGTGTCTCCCACATGGTCCAAACAATAGGGTCATCTTTTGTTGTTTTTCCCAGGCATAAGCAGGGAGCTGGATCACAAATGGAGCAGCTGGAACTCAAACTAGCATCTATACAGGATGCTGGCTTTGTAGGTGGCAGTTTAACCCACTACTCAATGACATAGACTGCATTACAGGTGGCAGCTAACCTTCTATTCCACAATGCTGTCCCCAAAATGTCCTATAAAATTCTTAAGTCTTTCTACCATAATTTCATTGAACCAGTATTTAACACTAGCAGATGCATCTACCCTCTAGTTGATTAATGATATCATGTTAATTATTTTTCTGGGACTGGTGTCATGGCATGGCAGGTTGATCTGTTGGCTAAGATGCTAGCCAACTATTTGGGCACTCATTCATGTACCAGCTACTCTGTTTCTGATCAAGTTCCCTGTTAATTGGCCTGGAAAGCAGTGGAAGATGGCCCAAGTGCCTGGAATCACACATACATGTGTGGAACCTGAAGAAGTTCTGGCTCCTGCCTTTGGCCTGGGTCAGCCCTTTGCCTTGTGGCCATTGAGAAGTGAGCCAGTGGATGCAAGATCTCTCTGCAACTCTGCCTTTGAAGTAAATAAAGGAGTAAATAAATAAATACTTAAATTAAAAAAGTTCTCTTCCCATGATGTAAGAGTAAATTCCATCTTTTCCCCCACAAATATACTGACCAGGCCAAATGAGTGAACTGTGAATCAACGGAGCATGCCACCACTTCGGTATTTATGGCTCTGAATTCTTCAATTCTGTCGCCAAAAGCGATAATTTCAGTTGGACACACAAATGTGCTGAAAGTTAAAAAAAGAAATTAGTACTCTCAAAATAAGCATATATGTGAACTTCCAAATGATTTAATTTTTTTTTACAAACATCTTTAGTATACAAAATTTGATGTTTAGAACCAATTTATATACAAACATTTTCTAGACAGAACAGTCTTAAACAGCAAGCCCTCCATTTTCTGACAGTATCTTACATGTCCTATGCAGCCAGGTGTTTTACCCTACCACCTTCATGTCGTCAGAGGAGTGTGTTTAGAAACGGGCAGTGTTTTAAAAATTGCAGTAGGGATGCCTTAACCTGGTTTAGTGAATTCCAACCAACATTTTAAAAAGTAAAAGATGTGAACAGACATCACACATATATATCATACATTTATGTGATATGCAAAATATTAAACAACTTTAACTTGGAATTCAGAAAGTGCCTATTTGCCATTTAGTGTGGATGTTTATTTATTCCTTAAACAGGACACAGTATTTTCAGGAAAATAGTTAAATCCCAGGAAAGCAAGATTCAACAAAATATAAAAATGGTAAAATTCTAGTTAATTGCAGAAAATGACTTATTTAAGTAACAAACATACATAATTATAGCATAACTTTTCCTATTACATGCTTCCTAAAATATCACCAGTCCACTTTCTTACTGTAAGAAGAAATACTTAATGAAGATATCGTAGCTTGGCTCTAATCACATCATGATAACACAATTCTAAAGATATAAGTACGACGTTTTCCATACAATGGGTTATGACTGAAATATATGATAGATATTATCACTCAGAATAAATTTTTCATGTCAGCTTGCCTTTCTAAGAATTAAGAGCTGAATACAAGAATTTCTGTTGCTGTTTTCGCATGATGAATGGTAAAGACTGATGTTCTCAGGGGTGCTATTTACATGTCTTACTTACAAATCAAGTGGGTAGAAGAAAAAAACCAAGTATTTTCCACGGTAATCAGTTAACTTGAGCTCCTTGAATTCTCCATTTATCACAGCTGTTCCTTCCCAGTAAGGTGCTGGCTTGGAAACTAAGAAAGAAAAAGACACGATGTTCTATAAATGCTGAAAATATTGGCAAACTGGCAGATGGAAACCTTCAGAAAAATTGCTAAAATCAGGGCTTGTCAACCTTTGGACCTCTTGGGAGTCTGGTGAAGCACACAGACTTCCTAGAACTGTGCTACCGAATTCAAAATGCATAGAAATACAAAGGAAACCGATTACAGTGAGATGCAATTAGTAACTATTAAAAACCCCAACTGCAGAGTATACATGTTCTTTTTTATAAGCTTTGGCAGTGATCTAGTAACTACCTAATGTAACAATAAATATAATAACATTTCCAGATACCTTCAATAACCTACATGACATGACAGTGTCTGTGATTCAACTGCGATAGTTATAACCAAGTACTGCTCAATCTAGTGTGGTTCATTACCAGTGTCCACCGCAGAAGGAAATGCTAACTTTCACTTGTTGGTCAGTGAAGACTTTTTCTACACAGGATCCCTGTGACCCCCTACATTCCATCCCTACCTGAAAACCGACTGGATTCTTTAGTCCTGCTGAGTTATCGACTTCGTTTCGCTAATGGTGGTTTACCAGATGTACTAACATGGCTTATCCAGCTTCTCAGGTACACAAGGGGGGGTGGGGAACTTACTGAGGATGAGGCTGAAGTTGAGGAGGAACTCTGCAAATCCATCAGGCCAGGAGGGTAACAATCTTTGGCTAGTGGGATAATTTGCCCAGAGGGCTTTGAAAGAAGAGACCACCCCTTCCCTCCCATCTTGAAAGGGGTTCAAGTGAAATGGAATACTTTCTGTCATTCTCATGTAAGGACATACTGTAACTCTACCCACCACACTGTGATAATAGATCTTCATGCTCTCTTGGACACATTTACATTGCACTTACTTCTTCAAGAGCATTACACACATTGAGGTCAATACTTGCTTTCAGGTTTGGCTTAGGTTTCCTAGAAAAGTTTATACAAGTGCTTTTGTATAACAGTCAACATTTAAGGTCACTCTGAAAATAAAGACAAAGTGAAGATGAATTTCTTAGGGTGATTACTTTGCGTGAGCTCTAAGCCTATCTCATACATATAATCCTGATCTGCTTAGGTAAGGGCCAGGTGGAAAATTAAAAAAGTATCAGAGTATATATTTTCTTCTATGTTACTTAAAATGCTACTCACGTGAGAAGTTATAATAATTGTGACAATCTGTTACAGTGACACTCTAGATACTCAGCTGAAAGTGGCAGCCTGGTGGCTAAAGCTCTCGCCTTGCATGTGCCAGGATCCATGTGGCACTGGTTCATATTCCAGCTGCTCCACTTCCCATCCAGCTCCCCACATGTGGCCTGGGAGAGCAGTGGAGGATGGCCCAAGGCCTTGAGACACTGCACCTGTGTGGGAGACTCAGCGGGAACTCCTAACTCCTGACTTTGGATCAGCTCAGCTCTTGCCTTTGGGGCCACTTGGGTGGTGAGCCAGTGCACAGAAGATCTTTCTCTGTCTCTCCTTTCTCTGTGTATCTGCCTTTCCAATATAAATAAATAACTAAATCTTATAAAAAGAACTACATTACAAGAGCTATAAATGCAATTCCTAAATGCTTTAGGAATTCAGAGTTTTAAACAATACCAGGTGTTTTTTTTTTTTTAAAAAAAAAACCTGTCCTGAATGTAAGTTATAGATCAATAGTCTGATAAATGCAAAGAAATAGAATATTCAAATCTCCTTTATCAATAATCCCAATCATTTTAGTAACCATTAACATTTTGATGACTTTTCCTTCCAGTCTTTTTTAAAAACCACAAGTTTAGATCTTATTACCCTGTCTTTTTCTTAAAGGAAACAGCAAACGTGAAGGTTTTCATGCTACTGAAGGGATATGATCCATAGTATTCTACTTTATGATTAGAAGTCATTGAATCTTTACTTACCGATAAGCCTACATGTGATACAAGAATGTACCAAGTACCTAAAATCTAAAAGGATTGCTGGTGAAGTGAAAGCTGTTATTAGTATTATTTGCCTGCTTCCAGAGGCAGCTTTGGGAGACCTAAGTAATGTCTGGAAACACTTACTGGCAGGCATATTTGAAAATGTATGCGCCATATGATGTGTAATACTATGACTCTGAAAGTAACAGACTGGCTTTTTACAAACAAAAATCCACAAGCAGTTAACTTCTAGCAGGAAAGAGCTGCCTATGTTTAAGGAGGCACAGCCGTTTCATTTATCATTCGCACTCCATCCCGAGTCTTAAGAACACTGCATTTCGCCCTGGAGATTTAGAATACTGGGTATTACCTTTCCCACTGAACAGTGGCAGGGGAACATGCCGTAACTGAATCACAAAAGCCAATTACACACCTAGACAATATAAAATAATCCCTAGAAAAAGCAGGCTACTGGAAAGCCGGCAAGGGGCGGCCGTTAGAGCTGCAGGTCACTTCTTTTTGGCTCATCTTAGCAGTCAGATGCAGCAGGCCACAACGTCCTCAGTATCTACTTAGTCTGACGTGTCCTTCCTGAAAGTGGCCATTAGCTTTGTACCCTGGACAGAAATGCAAATAATCAAAAGGCAAATTGGCAGGGCACAAATTTGCCAAGAGATTTATCATCAACCCAAATGCTTTCCTTTAAACCTCCCTTTTTTCTCTGCCCTTGTAAAGCGCACCCTGTTAACAGTCTTTTCCTGTCTGTGAAATACAAAGACTACTCCATAACTACATTGCTTTGCGGGAATGTGGCTTCTAATACTCTTTATAAGATGCAACAAAGAAAGAAAAAGGAAAGGTTTGGCTTCCGAATCCTTGTGCTTAAGCAGTTCTCTACTGGATCAAACTTTTTGTGAATTATTATTCAAAGTCTTCTTCCCTGAATGTACTTGCGAAGGGATGGGACGTGCTGCAAGGCACTGCACGAGGTCTGAGGAAGTGTTCCAGTTTGCACAACATCCTGGAAGCCAGAAAGCCCGTGACTAGAGTCACCTACTTTGTTTCACCTGCGGTTTTTGGGGTAACCACTACCGTTTCCAAAATCTGATCACAGGAACCACCCCTTCTTTCCCCATCGCAGTCACTCTCCATCCTCCCACTTCCCAGGAGAGAGAAGCAGGCCTGCTTAGGGCCTGGAGATAGCTCAGGGGGAGCCGCCCAAGCCCAGGCCCCCGGGAAGTGCTCGGAGTACACGTGTCTCCAGGCTTTCCCCACATCTCACCCAAACCCTTGGCACAGCACCACCTACTCTTGGCTTTGCTTAGGTGCAAGGAGTGGTCTGCGACTGATACCCGGGACGCTTCCCCCGGGTACACTTGTCCACCAGCGTAGAAGTGGCACTCCTCTTCGCGGGTCCGGGGCCTCTCGTCTGCCTCCAAGCCCCGCAGAGCCACGGCCAGCAGCAGGAACAGCAGCAGCAGCTTCGGGCTCCAGCCAGCGGCCGACAGCTGCAGCGGCACCTCCATGAGCACGCGAATGCAGAAACACGTCCCCGCGCGGTAGCCTGGATTCTCCCGCCGCCAGGCAGTCACCACCGCGTGCACGATGCCCGCGCGCGAGCTGGGGCGCGGCCGCGCGAGCCTCGCTCCGCCCCTCCGCCTCCGCCCCCCCACGTCCCGCTCCCCGCCACGTGGGCGCCGGCCCCGCCTTCTCGCCCCGCCTCAGCCAGCGTGTGCGCCTGCGCCGTGGGGCGGGCCCAGGCGGGGCGCGTCTCTCAAGCGCCGGACGGGCGGCTCGGGGCGTGGCTGTCGTTCGGCTCTGCGCTCTGGCAGCCGGCTTCTCCCGCCTCTTCCTCACAGCCTCACCACTGAGCGCCTTCTCGTGGGAAGCCACAACTGTACGTCTAATATATTTTTTAAAGTTACTTTGAAACACACTTAAACATTAGTTGGCAAGTCATTACTGGTTTCATTTATGGGATACAATGTGGACTGATTCAGTCGGGCCAGTTAACGTCTATCACCTCTTTTTGCAACTACATGCAGGGCGAAACATTTGGAATGAGTTGTTTTGAAATCGACGAGGACATTACTGCTGACTGTATTTATAATGTTGGTTCGGGGGGCTGCTGGCAGGCGGGACAGTGGGAGGAACGATGGGTTACATGGTTACTGGTCAGGGGGGTACAAGCATTCAGATACTCTGGATATTTCCCTGTTTCCCTGCATTGGTTTGTGGGAACAGTCCCCTGTACTCGCAACCGGTTCAGTCCCTGGGACATCCTAGCCATTGGCTCTCTTCCACCACAGGAAAGCAGAAACAAGTAGTTTGGGTGACTTAAACATGTCGCGGAGTCACCTGTTTTCATTTTTTCTTTTTAAATTTAAACCAAAGCTTGCTAAGTTAGCTGAAAACTTTTTTCTCTCACCACGGGGGCTGGGGGAGGGGGGGAGCAGTCAGCTTCTGACCTTTGCCCTATTCCCTACACGGAGGCCCCGTGCTGCCTGCCGGGCGCATGCTCCCTGCTGGGTGGGCCTCCCCTCCCCTCCCCCAGCCCCTGGCCTTTGCGCCTGCGCCCCAGGCGGGGCAGCCCCAGGCTGTGAGTCCCCTGACCCCTTTGTGAAATCACAGGCCTGTGACCCGCCCCATTGCCTCTGGCTCCCCTAGGGCTCCTCCCGGATCCTGTTTCTTCCCTCTAAGTTTTGTGCAGGTGCGCTGGCGGTGATGGAGCCTTAGGCCTGGTGTAGACCTTCCTGTCATTCCACATGGTCTCCCCTTCACGTGGCCTCTTACCTTTACCAAAGCACTGACTTAAAGCCCGGTAGCCGGTTTCAGGCCCTTGGTGTCCCCAAAGCTGTGTCCTGATGCCTTGGGACCGTTCCTCAACAATGTTAGGCCCTGCAAAGCCTCGCCATCCCATGCCATCTCCTGCCATCCCCCCCCCCCCACCTCCCGTAAACTGGAAATTAAGCTTTCTGCTTTTGAACAGCTTGCGTTTGCTTTTCCTCCCAGGCGTTTCTTCTTTCCCTTGCAGCCATCTGCATGACCAGTCCCCCCCCCCCCCCCCCCCCCCCCCGTATTCCCTCTAGTCCCCGAATTCCCTCTAGTCACCACCCTGTTCACTCCTGGGAAACCTTGGGAGAGCAGCTTCCAACCTGAAAAGCAGCATCTTTAAGCCAGAGAAGGAACTGCCAGGCAAGCCGAGTTTGCTAACTTACACCTCTTTCAGTGTGTGTACTTTTTAAAATTAGGATTTGAAATGTTCCCAGAAGACCCTGTGTCCCAGTTTCTGACATTTGCCCCAGGAGAGCTGAGTTCCCCACCTCCTCCCTGAACATTCCCCCTCACTTGCTAGGCCGTTTTTTGCGGCCGAAAGTTTGTGGTCTGGTCCTGGCCACACTTGTCACTCCTCCTACTACCGCCCAGTAGCTATTCTGCCTTCTAGCCCCAGCTTGCTGTGACCAAAGGCTAAAAAGGGTGAAGCCAGTCCCCTGTGCCAGGAGAGGGACAGCGTGGCCTTACCCATGACCGCGTCCGGCAGCTCTTCACATTCTGCTGGCCTGTAGGTGGGGGTCCTCGGCCGAGGTGGCTCTCGTTCCCATTCTTCTCCTTCCCTGGCCTCCTGCTCCACATGCAGAGGGACTGGGGCCCGGGAGGCTCGGGCCTGAGGCCCAGGGAGCCGGTTCAGGCCTACGTTCCGGGGTCGGCCTCGGTGATCCATGGTGACTGTTGGCCAGTCTCCAGGCTCAGTGAACTGAGCCTCCTGAGTTTGGACCTACACTAGGAAGCTCGAGGAGGACGTTACGTCCTTATACCTCTTAATCCTGGGCTCAGAGGAGGTATCCCAGCTAGCAGCAGGGACCGACCCCCTCCTCCACCCTGGGGGCCCCAGTGGACCTGCTGCCCACTGGAGAGTGACCTGCTGGGCTGCCTCTCACGCATGTACTGAGGCCTTCACACTCCTGGACAGATGATACTGTGACGCTCACATTGTGCTGTCGTGATGATGTCAGTGAGTAAGGTTGAGGTGGGGGCCCTGCCCTCAAGGCACTTAGCATTCAGCCAGAGTCAGTTGCCCACATTAATAATACAAAACTCACTAGCCAGAGTGATGCTTCAGAACCCCCCAGGGTACATGTAAGAAACACCAGGAGGGCTTAAAAACAGCCAGGCGAGGGGACCACAGCCCCACCAGTGACAGCTGAACAGGTCCTGGAGGAGAGGCATAAGTGTGTTTGGTTTCACTCCTGGGCATGTTTGGGTAAGAACATCATGCTGATGGATAAAAGTACACAATGGGGGCTGGTGTTAGGATGCATTGGCTTATGCTACCGCATACAACACCGATGCCCTGTTGAGTGCAGGTTCAAGTCCTGGCTCCTCCACTTCCTATCCAACTCCCTGCAAACTGTACCAGGATAAGCAGCAGCAAGCATCTCAAGTACTTACAGATGTTGCTGTTTGTGTGGGAGACCTGGATGGAATTTTAGGGTTCAGGCTTTGGCCTGTCCAGTTCTGTAAGGTGTGTGATCAGCCGTGTCTAGATGAAATTTAGGCTCTGCTCCTTGTTGGTCTTGTGGCCTTGACAAACATGTTTGAACTTTTCTGAACCTCAGTTTCTTCATCTGCAGGTAGAAGATAATACTTTCTACATGTTGTGAAACTGAAATAATAATTGTCAAGCCCAGCTTTGCCTTAGGGACGCAATTCTAGTGAATATGGCAAAAGTAATGCTTTGTGACTTCAGAGGCTAGATCATACAGCAAGATTTTTCTATCTTATGCTTAGATGACTCATTCTGGGAAACGACGTTTTTGTTCAGAATTTTTATTTAGATAGAATACATGAAGCATAGTGGTTATTTTTCACTTTAAACTGCATGTGTGATTCAGTGGTTATTAGTATAACTCCAATGTTATGCTTTGTATTCACTAATTTGTTAAAAAAAAAAAGTGATCTGACTGTATTTTAGTTTTTAAAAAACTTCAGATATTTAACAAACAAGAGGGAAGGGTGGGAGAGGTATCTTCCATCTTCCATCTGCTGGCTCACTTCTCAAATGGCCCAAACTACCGGGGCTGGACCAGACCAAAGCCAGGAGCCTGGAGCTCCAGCTTTGTTTCCCACAGGAGTTTCTGGATGCCCAAGTAGTTGGGCCATCTGATGTTGTTTTCCCAGTTGCATTAGCTGAGAGCTGGATTCATAGTGCAACAGCCGGGGCTCAAACTAGCGGTAGGGATGCTGGTGATGTAAGCAGCAGCTTAATATACTATGCCACAATATCAGCCCGTGTGTGTGTGTGTGTGTGTGTGTGTGTGTGTGTGTGTGTGGTGTGTGTAAATATATTCTGCAGTGTGGGAGATCACCCATTTCTCTGCTTGCCTAGTCCACGTGGGAGGCCATAAGCACACCGACCCTGGGAGAACCTCTGACAGGAGTCTTGGCTAACCGAGAGCCCAATATGGCCTGTTCACTGGGCATCCAGCAAGAGTGAGGGGATGTACCCCAGTCCCTCTTCTCTGCCTCTTTAACAAACTGTGCTAGGACTTCCTTCGTAAACAACTCTGGGAAGTCAAATGTTACATCCATCCTGCTTTTCAGCAGGTGAAGAGTCTGCCCTGAGACACAGCTTCCTGTGCTTCCTGACATATAACTTCATTAGAGCATCCAAAGAGATAAACATACCTATTAACCAGTCACAGTGTCATTGTTGGGTGGAAGTACTGTCAGGACCTCCCTTTCTGCCCCCCTTTCCTATTCTGTATAAGCCTGTAACTTTTTTTTAAATAAACGGATATGGGTCACCACCAGTTTGTCTCTGGTGTTTCTGCTGTAGAAGAAAACCGCCACCTCAATCCTTGGTGGTCTTGGGGCCTGATGGACAGAGGACCCCTGAGACTATAGTATATGTTATAATGTATTTTAATCTATGTTTTACTTATGTGAAAGGGAGAGAGAAACATAGGTGTCAACCCACTGGTTCCCTTGTCCTCGACATCCAAGTCTGGCCTGGGCTGAAGCCAGCAGCCTGGAACTCATTCCTGCCTCCCAGGGTGCAAATTAGCTAGGAAACTTGGGCAGATACAGAGCCAGTAGTTGAATTTAGGCAATTTGTCATGAGCTGTAGGTGTTCCAAGCTGTAGTTTAACTACTGTTCTAAGCATTTGCCCCTGTATTCATCAATAATTCACTCTAAAACGTTCATACCATTTTCCAAAGAGAATTAGCCATTCTGAAATTAGCCATTCTGAAATCTCTCCTTCTTCCCATTTCCTGACCACGTCTGATTAACATTCTGTCTTTATACATTTGCTTCTTCTGGACATTCCATGTCAGTGGAATCACATGTGGCCTTTTGTGTTTGTGTCTTTGATTGAAGCATAATGCTTTCATGATTTGTTCACATTGTATCATGTATTGGCAATGTTTTTCTTCTTCCAATTTTGGTAGATTTCAGTGGCATTAAGTACATTCACACTGTTGTGCAGGCGTTACCACATTGTCCAGAGTGTTTCATCTTAGACTGAAGCTGTGCCTGTTAGACAATATTCCCTTGTTGCTCCTTATCCTCAGGTCCTGAGAATTAACCTTTTCCTTTCTGTCTCTAGGAAT